TGGAATATTGATATATTGTAAATGAAATGTATATCAATTTTTAGAAAATGAAAAATAGAAAATATTTTCATATATCCAATAGAATCTAAAATTCTTACGGAATTTGTTTGCAAATTCACACTTCAACTAGAAAATGATAAAAGTTGACATCACATAGAATTTGAAAAGTGCATTCTGATTTCATATATCTGGTATATATTATGATTCCGTGTAGAGTTTTTATCTAAGGTCAAATTTTATTGTTATCCTCTAATAATATTCCATCCAATCAGAGTTAAAATTACTTGAGAACTCGTAATGGATTTTAGAAGATTTCTCGATTTGTTCCAGACATAACCTAAAACTATTGTTGTTTGTTGTTTTATTATTCCCCAGTCAAGTGCACAAACATCACCTCTTTTATTTATCCATGGAGATGGAGCTAGTCTGATTTTTATTCGCAAATCAAAATAGCAGGGACCAAGCAGCTAAATAGCTTGACAAACCATCATTGCTCCCCTTGTTTTAGTCCTTCTATTAGCCTCTTGCTACACTCTCCTTTCTCTATTTCTTGACTGCAAGTTGATAGGGTTGTCTGTGTACTGTGAGCAAGATGAACAGATTTTCGTTACATGCATTTTCATTCTTTGTTGCTTTCCTTATAAAAAATTCAGGGGAAGATTGCAGAAGGACTTGCACACCTGCGAAGAATTGGAAATTTGAAAGAGCCACATGAACCCAAGAGCAAAGCCCATTATTATGATGGATTGATATTGCTGGCTAGGTATGAATCAACATCAGCAATGATTACTGTTACACAGTTGTTTGGTTTTAATTCTCATTTAGTTTATGTTAGCTACTGGCTCTATTTCTCATTTAGTTTTAATACATGTTTAAATAACATATAATCCATCATTCCTGGGGAAAATGAATTTCCTGCATTAAAGAATTCAAGGCAGTTCAGTGTTAGTCGAAATTCAAAAGTTATGTGATAGTTATGCATATTAAGACTCGTATAAAAACTAAAATTAGAAACTAAACAAAAAGTAAATAAGAAATTAACCAAAAGCCAAGCTTAGTTATTATTAAATGCGGATTCTAAGAATCTGCCATTCTGTTTTCAGTGCTCTATACAATGAAGGTTGCAAGGACGAGGCAGTGAAGTATTTGCGTTTGGCTGCTGCTTTTGATCCCGCTTACAATGAGTTACTCGAACAGTGTAAAAATGACAATAACAGTATTGTCAGTGATCTTGTGAGCAGCAGGAGAGCAGACTACTGATGAGTTTTAAAGTCATTGAATTGCATTTCACTAGATGATATAATTTATCTTATTGAAATTATAACTTGAGCTAATTGCATAATACCGGCACGAGAAACACCTTTGAGGCTCTACTGAGCAATAAAGTAGTTAAATACTATTGAGTCTACAGCCAGAATGACAATTGGCGCCAAGTTGGTCATTTGAAGTTGATTATAAACATGTTGGTGCAAAGAAAAATTTTGTATATTGGTTTTTATACAAACCCATGTTTCAACTATTCATCTATTTTTGTTCAGGAGAAACTGGTTATCTATCTACTATAGCTTTTGATGATTCCTTTATCCAAAGGGTACATTACTTATTGTGCAGGTCAGGTAGAAGTACTTCTCCCAAACTCAATTGCAGCTGAATCTAGTTTGGACGTAATAAAATGACCCGTGATATCTTGTCTAGCAGAGGCAATCACAGACTTCCTGCCACTAAAGAGAAACTAATGTGTGATTTGAATATGATAATGGAGGCATATCGGAGGGAAATAGTGAAAAGAGGTATCCAACTAAAACGATTTGGCACAAGTTGCACCTTGTGCTAAAGGAGTCTATCAAGTTGCTCTCATTCGTGGGATAGTCTCTAAGTTGATTTGTACTAACCTCTATGGTATGTAATTAGAATAAATTTAAAAATGCTAAAAAAAAATTTAGATATTTATTTTCTACTCATAAACAATTTATTTTGAATTCTCTGAGTTGAACAAAATTCTGAATTTTAAATGAAATAAATATTTAAATTTGTTCAAAATATGTTCTTTTAAGTTAAATCTATTCTATATTCTCTTTTAATTTTAGATGTAGATACATTGCCAGATTAATTTCAATGACATTAATTTTTAAAAAATAATGATAATATTAGTTTCCTAGTCAGATAAAATATAAAGCATATATTTATACATTATACTAAATATACCAATAAACGCATATATTTTGTAAATATATTATATTGATAACATATATTATAGCTTTTCTAAAATTAAAAATATTCAAATTTGAAATTATTCAAAACCAAGGTATTGTGATCAGCAGGACCTTCCCACTGATAACTTCTTATACAGGACAGTTAAATTCAAACCTTACAACCGCCGGTTTCTGTAAATCCATAATCCGATGAGAAGAAAAGTAAAAAGTAAATAAATAAATGGTTTGTTTCTTTTTTTGTTTCTTTTGACACTGTATCATGATACATGCTTTCGTTTTATAAATCCTCGGTTTATTCCTCGTTCATTTCTTTCCCCATCAATTCAGTCTTAACTAAGTCCAATCTTAAAAGTACATAATAGCAAAAAATGAAACATGAACAGGATCAATATAAAAAATTCCACTTCCAACATTTTCTTTTAGACAGCAAACAGCACGCCCCCAAATTATTAACATAAAGCAATTTTGCTATCTCCATTTGTTTGAGTTTCAAAGTAAATTATAGAAAACATCACCGAAATATACTCCTGAAATACTGCTCACATTCTCGCATTGAACAGACATACTCAAAAAGCAGAACACTGGGATTCAATCGCTGCACAGGACTTTTTATTGGTGAGCCAGGACAGCCTTAATAGTCCTTTGTGCCAAAATTCTTGCACCAGAGCTGTGAAGGAATTGGTCGGACTGGGTGATGAGGCCTTTGCTGCATCACACAACACAATAATACTTTAGTAATTGAACATAGCCACATATACACTAATGTACAAAAGATCGTCCAAACTACGCAAATCCATCGTTGCATTCACTCCAATAGATTTTAGTTGGGGAAACAGCATATTCTCTTTCGCTCCGGTAACACATGCATTTCAAGGGGCAAACATGTGAGATGCACCCGATATCTCTATTTCAAAAGCTCATTTCGACATCTAAACACGCATAGAGTATGTCAAATCTGCTTCCTACACAAAAAGCTTCTACCAAAAGATTTGTGCTCTGACAAAATTCTCTCTAACTCTTGACATGATAATTTTATACATAAAATGTCGGAAAAAAAAAAAAGAAAACACCTCGTACTTTGGAGTCTATATCAATTAACACCCCCGGACTTTTACTTATGACAATAAGTCTTAATATTTTGATCATTTATCAAATTACACCTTCTGGATAATGAATGCTTAAAGTTAATAGAATTATAAATGCTAATGTTGTCATATTTTTTTATGTAAACAGTTATCTAACCCATTAACCTAAAACCAACCTTTAATGCTAAAGAAGTTAAACAAATCAATTATCATTCCCTTCAACTCTACCAGCAAACCCCAACCCCCTAGTTCCCTTATTCACCACAAAAAGCAAATACAAGAAAAAATTAAAGGGTAGATGTAGATAAAATGTACTCAGATCAAAAGGCAAACAAGCAAAGAAGATACCACAAACTACCGATCCCAAAATTGATTAGCTCTAAATTGTTATTGCCTCCTCATTTGATAAAATCATCAAGAGATCAGTCAACAGTATATTTCTGAAAATACCCACTCTTCTTCTAGAGGTCAAAAAAACAAAATTCTCCTGTCTCCCCTGTTCCTCTCGAAATTAAAATAGCAACTTTTTCCTCAATTGCAGCTCATTTTTCCCAACTTTCAACCCATTTTTCCTTCATCTTCTGTCTACCTAGTTGTTACCTCAGTCAATAAAGCAAGAGTTTCAAGTGGGAGAGAAGGGGGAAAAATGCCAATGGCAGAGGTGGGTGAGCAACGTGTTGTGTCTAAGCAGGGAAGAAAGAAGAGAATGATATAATGAGGGATGCAAGGGCTCTTTGGTGGGTAAAAGATATTCAATTCAATTAAATAAAGATCGTAAAAAGACAAAAAAGAGTCTTCATTAATATTGATTAAAGAAAAGATGCAATTTGATGATTGTTAAAACAGCAACGCATAACTTTCGCAAGCAAAAACCCAAGGAGTTAGGAAACAGCATTTTCTCTCTGATTCTCTCTCTATTCTTTTCTTTATGCACTTTTTCATGGATCAGCCTTCATGCCTCTCCTCTCCCCTTGGAAATTAATAGTGATCGGGAATAAGTCTTTCGACATTGTCCTAGAAGAGGAATCTGATGCTTTGACTCATAGAAAACATGTTCAAGTTTGATTCTCTTTTTAACTATTCAACCATGAGATTAATTCTAATTGTATGGGATGACAATCTCTTTGAGCTCCATGCAAAGTCAAGAGATTTGTTTTTTCTTCAAGGAAGAAAATGGAGATTGATTGGGATGAGTAATGCCTTTCTCGAGCATTTCAAAGCATAGTTTCCCATTTCATCATTTCGAAGATGAGAATAGCACATGGACATGCTACAACTGGTGCAATCCCAGATTCCAAGGTAATTTTATGATCATAAGACCTGGGTGAAATGCTCACAGATCCTTGAAATAAACATACTACTTGGCAAATAGTCGTATCTGCCTCCCTATCACTGCTGCCAAAGCAGCAGAAAATTGCCTAGCATCTTCATCAAATTAAAATCTCATGTAATGCTCCTAATGTTCTCAACCAATTGACTTCTTAGCACTGTTCCAAAACCAATTAATGAATAAATAAAAAAAGTAAAAGTAAATGAAACCATTATCCAATGGCATGTAGAACTTTCTACAAACTCCTAAAAACCGCCACATTACTCACGATCACCCAAAATGCCACCTTACCATCAATCAAGGTTTAGACACCTTGCTTTATCCATATGCAAAAAAATTATGTGTATTACTTAAATAGATCAAGATAATCACAAAACCCTTCCAAGAAGCCATTGATCTACATTGTTTGAGAGGTTTGAGTGTTCGCTCTTGTGGTGGATGAAAATTTTGGCCTC